AATTTTGCTTAGCTCTGATTTAAAATTGCTAAACCGTCAGCTGAAGAAAAACTGGCGAAAAATTATCCATCCACGCTTTATATTTTCGAATCTAATTAATTTTGAGTTTTAGTTTTCAGATTAAGTCATTTCTTAATTCTGATTGGGTTCAAAATTCACCTCCGAATTTTCCCGGATTCCGGTCTTCTGTGCGGGAGGCGGTCGAGTAGCGCGATTTTCCCGGATGTCACTATATGCTGCTAATAACACAGAAGATTGATTTTATGACTTCTGAGCTATTAAAGACAAAAAAAAAAAGAATTTTAATGGTGTAGTACAAAATCTTCCCCAGACCCATTTCTTCAACATTTCCTGACTTGCAGCTTCATGTCTGTAGACAGTTCTGTCTCATTATTATCCTGAAACAATGTACACATCATGTACATTCTTTATTAGAAGATAGTACACAATTATAGTTGGAAAGTCCATTTATCATAGACACAATGAGAATGTGCTCTTCGACAACCGAAAATCGCGCCGCTATACATGCACTTTTGATAAATGCTATATGACAGAAAATAAGTGTCAAATTGAGATGAAATCTGACTAATTGAACTCCCCTATACAACGCTCAATCATGATGCATTTTTCGCGTGAAAAACAAAATATCTTTTCACTAATGGCAGAAACAGGGAAGGCAAGAAAGGGAGAGGGAGAACGGAGATATACTCTAGATATATTCTATATATTTTCAGAGATATACTCTTCGCGAGTTTGGATGTATTCGGCCGAAATCTGTTGCGAGATAGCCTCGACAAGCAGTACGCTGAGGAGCACAGCAAGTTGCCGCCACGCATCATGTGCATCATGCCACAATATGATAGACCGCAAACGCTGGTGCAGCGCGCTTGCCGCAAAGTGTTCCTTCCACTGGATCTCTTCTGATCTTCACGGGTTCCCATCTACAGCTGACGTGGAATATTCTGCCAGTTGCCATTCGAGATCCTGCGGCTTAACACTGGATCAGAACATTTCTCGGTGCTGGTTCTCTTGTGATTTAACTCTCAAGCAAATCTTGTGAATCTCTCTATAATGCATGACGCGTCTGATGCTAAATTAGCCATTCACTTTGCACATTTGTCTTTATAATCAGCTAGTCTAATGAATTTTATGCGTGCTTGATGTTTTCGCTTTTTTCCGCATAGCGGAGAGCACTTCCCCGTGCTTTTGTGATTTAGTTTTCTGGTCTCCAAGTTGTGGTACTCTTGTTGATTTCTGGTTCAAATCTGATTTCGCCTTCACTTAGTTTCTTTCTGTTACTATTGTCACACTTTCTTTTTTTTTCCGCGTGCACCAACCTATTGTGATAAACAATTGAAATTGCATTTCTATGATGAATTTTATGCATGGGATTTATGAAACCTTTTTAATTTCTTTGTAATAAAACTTTTATGTGAGGTTGGTAAAAGCCGAGGCTTTTCTTAGATCATGTTTTAGATTTAAGTAAACAATTTGTTTGAATTGCGAATCATGTTGTGCGAGAGTGAGAACATTGCTGAAAGTGTAACATGCATGATCACTGATGAAGGAGAAAATCGCGAATCAGACTCACCAGGACCTTCGCTTAAGCGACCATGTTTGAGTTCTCCAGGAGATGCTCGCAAAAGGCCCCATCTGGATGCGGCTGCATCAGAAGCTCCATGTGAAGGTCTGTTCTCAAATCCTATCCATCAGTGCTTGAAGTATAAAAAGTGAAGATCAGTACTCAAACTGCATTATTTAGATGAAATTCTTAAAATTATATAAGCAGATTTTACCCAAATTAATAGTGTTGATTGCAAGAGTGGAAATTAGTGCGATAGGTGTATATCAGGTTGTTTCAAATTATCCGAAATTTTTTGTCGCTCTTATACTTTTCTTAACTTTGAAACGTTAATCTCAATCGTTAATATCCAAGTCAGATATTCTATTAGGTTGAGGAATAGGTTCGTAGCGTTTTTTTCCCAAAAACTTTTACTTAAACAAAAATCAATGGTTTTAGCAATAAATCAACTA